AATCTTAAATATATTTTTAAAATATAAAATGTGCAATAAATTTGCAAATTCAAATTAGGGATTTAGAGTTTCATTGTCTTTTTAAAAAAGAAAATAAAATAAAAAATAAAAAATAGATAGTGTTGAAGGACAATCTTACAGTCTTATTAATTTTGTGTATTTTCTAATTTATTTCATCACCAAATACGTATTTTATAGAAATATTCTCATAAATGAAGATTAATGATATAAAAAGTGTACAATGTTTAAAATTTTTAATATCTAAAACTTTAATATATAAAAATATTAAAATAATAAATATACTTTTATAATAATAAATAATAAATTATTCATGTTAATTCGATTTATGATTACTAAATCTAGTTTTTAAAAACGCATAATTTATATGTGGTCATATAAAGTGGTGCACTTTATATATTAGCATGCTGCATTTTATAAAACATCACGTTACAATTTATAAAACAACACCTTGCATTTTATCATCACATTTCATAATTAATGTCAACATCTCTCGCCAAAATATCACACAGCCTAAATCTAAAAAAGGGTATACATAGCATCAATCATGTCATTTATACACAAAATCAAGAATCCTAACGTCCCAAAATTACAATATTCACTTTATACACCAACATGTTGCACTATATAAAATAACACGTTGCACTATAAAAATTAACACGTTGCACTTTATCACAATCATCAGATTGAACACTAGAGACTAAAACCGATCACATTCAATTTTTTTCCACCACAAATAATATAAAAATAATAACTAATATCATTAACATAATAAATATAATTTAAATATAAATAACAAATTATTTTGACTATTTAGGATAATTCGGTTAACCGAACCAAATAAACCATTTATTTTTTATTTGATTTGTGACAAAAGTATGGTTGGTTCAATCTGTACTATACATACCGTTACCATGCACCATATTGTTAGCCGAATTTCACCTTAGAAACTGTTAGATTACACCATATGATTCGTTTATCATCCAACCTCTAATAGAATTTTTGGTACGTTCTTTATATGTCAGTCCGATTATCGATTTTTAAATTTTATAATTTCGATTATTTCCTTATGATTGAAAATCAAATAACCGATTATAATTTTTACATGTACATTATTTTTTAAGCAAAAAAATTATAATATACTAAATAAAAAATATTAAAATACTAAATATTATTTTATAATACAAATAATAATTTATTTTTGTTACTTGAGTTATTTCGGCTAACCGACAAATTAAATCGAGGTGCATGTTCTCACTCATTATTGTATGCTCGACCGATGAACAACTCTAAGCGCTTGCATTTTGATAAATTTGTGAACATGTAGGCGAATTATGTAATCACATAATAAAATTTTAATATGCATATCGTCACGTAATACTATTGTGCATTTTTTTGTATTGTTATAGTGAAAATATTGATCACCTATACACATGACATAGTGCAAATATATTAAATTCCGATAATTGCAAATAGGTCCTCCATGCTTGCCTAATTTTTTAAAATATATCCCTAATTTGATTTTTAGAATTTGCAAATAGATTTCCACCACCATCCCCGTACCGACCGTCTCTTCCGGCCACTGCAACCGTCGTCCTTAGATCCCAACATTGACACTTGCACTGCCAACTTCTTCGCCTTCTTCTTCTATTCCAACGAGGTCGTCTCCTTGTCAGCTCGCTTTAGCAACGACTCCGACCTGAATTCCCTCCTCTCGAAGCCCAGTGTCGTCGAGTACAACGATGATGTTCCGTCATACCACGCATATTCACCTTCCGGTTCCGTGTACGACGAGGCTATTTTCCAAAACTACGGCCCGGAGGATGACCATCTCACGCTAAGCGTGGAGACCGGCGTCTGCGTCGTGGTAGTTGGCTGATGGCGGCGTCAGGTTGGGACTTCAGCGTGGCTCGTCGGGACGACTAGCGGACTTTGCGCTTAGTGGTATGGTGGCTGTCCGACGGAGATCTGTGGTTGCGTCGGGTGGTCCGACGGTGGTCAGTGATGTCGAGGGACTAAGCGGCGACTCATTGGTGGTCCACCGTATGCGTGAAGGGTGTGTGTGTATGTGAAATGTGTCTGTGTGTGGTGGTGGGGGTGGGTGAAAGATATTGATGGGTGAGGTAGGTGGGGTGATGACTAGGTGGGTGTTGGGGTTAATGTTGGGTGGTGATGGCCCACATGCTGGTAGGTTTGGTAACGAATGTCCAGTTTACCCTCTTATATTTGACCACAAATTGTATATTTATTTACAAAAAATGTCATCGCATGTTTGACTGACATATTTAATATTTGACTAAATCATGATCATTGATATGTTGCATCCAATGGTCTAGAATCATTCTTATTTTTTTCACTATCTATCATTTTCATATGATCTCAACTCTTTCTCTCTCTCTCACTCACTCTCACTCTCTCTCTCTCTCTCTCTCTCTCTCTCTCTCTATCTATATATATATATATATATATATTATTATTATGCAAAGTAGTTATACGGGACAAATGAGATGATTCGTGACAAAAATATTCGAAATCAATGTTGACACTGTAAAACGGTTATGTACTGAGAACGATATGAAAATAAAGAAAATATTTGGAAAACTTATTTTTTTGAACTCGACGATTTTGGTCAGCTTCGATACGAGAAAACTCAATTTTTGCTCACCCCTACCCAACTACCAAATTAATTATATGTGCGGGAATGACTATCTTGCAGTTATTGTAATTATATTACTAGTACACCACCCGCGCGATGCGCGGCCTTATATTAAAAGTGATGTGCTTAATAACTTAAATAAATAAGAAATTAATCAAGAACTGTATAGAGATAAAAATATGTAG